GGGTTTCACCATGTTGACCAGAATGGTCTTGATCTCTTGACCTCGTGATCCACCCGCCTCGGCCTCCCAAAGTGCTGGGATTACAGGCGTGAGCCATGGCGCCCGGCCTGTCGGCTATTCTTGAGCTGGAAATACCTAATTTGGAAACTTATCAGAAGGGAAAAGAGCTGGTTGGGGGGCGGGGGGGAATCACTTGAGTTCAGGAGTTCGAGACCATCCTGGGCAACATAGTGAGACCTCATCTCTAAAAACAAAGAAAGAAAGAAAGAAAAAAAAGATTATGGGCAAATGCATGGAGATAAAGGAAAAGGGGACGAGCCTCCGTGACATACTGATTCTCTAAGTTTTTCTCTTGCACCTTTCGTCAGGTTTCAGGCAGAAGGGCTGGGACGGCCAGGAGCCAGGGCCTTCTGTGGGCGCATGGCCATCAGCCCCTTTCCGAGACAGCTTAAACTTAGTCCCAAAGAAGCTCCCTTGCCATTTCCCTCACACTAACGGACAATAACGAGGCCTCGAGCTAGGCAGGCCAGGGCCGTACTCGAGCTGCTGGCAGGGAGCAAATCTCAGGAAGGCCAAGCCACCAAAAAAATGTAAGCCTCGATCAACTGTGAGTTAGGAAAAACAGGACCAGGCGCTACAGGGCAGAGGCCAAACCAAAATCCCCAGCGGGTCTAGCGAAGCGGGGCGGGTAAGCGCACCTTCTTATTGGGTGGCGATGAGCAGCGTGCTCCCACGCCCCTCCCCAGAAGGCAAGCCTCCTGCGCGCGGAGCACGGCGGGAGTAGAGTCGGCGGGACCAGCCGCAGTACTTCATCTCCCGGCGGGCTCAGCGCTGAAGGCTGCGGCGCGGCGCGGCGCCTTTGTGGAAGCAGTGGCCCAGCGCGGAGGAAGTTCCGGTCTCCGCGGCGCTGGGTCGGTGGCGGAGGCTGAGAAGAAGAAGTAGTGGGCCGTGGAGGCTTCGCCGCCTAGGTAAGGGCCCGGGACTGGAGAGAGGGCGTGCCAGAGCCTGCGCGGGTAGAGCCAGGAGACAGGGCCGCTCTAGACGTCGCAGGGCCGCGAGGCCTGAAAGCTATGGCTTCGGTGTCGCGGGGCGGCCGCGGCCTCGCTCGGGAAGAAGAGAGCCAAGCGGCGATGAGGTGAGGTAGGCGCCGCCCGCTGCAGGAACGCCCCGGAACCGTCGCGGGCCCGGGGCGGGGCCCGGCGCGGCGGTAGAATTACCGGTCCTGCCGCGGAGCGGCCAGCTGAGAGGTAGGAGCTGGCGCGTGGTTGCGGCTCTGTGCTCTTAGTCTTCGGAGCTGTGAGCGGGCCCTTTTTTCTTGCAGTTTTCCTGTTTCTAATCCAATTCTGATCACTAGGAAGGGAGCTCTTGTGCCTAGTACGTAGCCTTGTCCTCAGCCTGGACAGACACTAGGGAGGCTCCGTCGGACTAGAAGGCTGGGCGGTAGAACCTGGAGGCGGGGGAGTGGTCTGGTGGGATCTGCGCCCGTTAGGCACTGTAGGAGAGGGATGTTTTCTCGTATTCACGCTTTAGATTCCTTGGCGGCGTAAATATGTGTTTTTCTCTTTACTTTAGAATTGACGTTAGGGGAATGGGTTCAACTTTGGAAATGCTTTTTTTTTTTTTTTTTTTTTTTTTTTTGTCACCC